ATTCTTATACGTTATCTGACAGTATTGTCTTTCACAAAGTATGTTGATATAGTAGTGCAATGAAAAGTTGTGTAACATCAAAACTTTGTTCTACACGAAAGCAACTAATCAATAACTACAATCTTCCTGTCAAGAAGACATATTGCTTGAATAAAAGCAGAGTTGTACTGTATCGCAATTAAATCCTTGGACACATCGATCTCTCATGCCGATGAATTTCAGCCTAATTCACTGATAAAACTGGAACGGATTTCTGAAGTTAACATAAAGCAGATCAAGCATTTAGACAAACTTCACGAGATTTCGAGCTAACTAAAACCGTGTTATCGGACCGCAGATTTGAGAATACTTTCGTTCCATTTGGCAGAAATATTCGTTCACAAAAGAGGATTCCGTGCACAATCCCGTAGACATACTCGGCGGAGCATTCGCGCGTAGTTGTAGCTTGATGGTTGGTTTAGAGCGAGGAACGTTTGAAAATCCCGAGCAAAGTTCGAGAGAGGTTAGTAGAGTAAACGCGGCACGGGTCAACCGTGGCCCGCGTTCCGAACTTCCATGCAGGCCGGTACGTTTTCATTTCGAAACTCGGGATTCTGAGAGGGAAATATTCTAAGCGGCATCAAAGTTTCGCCGACAATAAAGAGATCAAAGGATGGTAGGTGGTGCAAAGAGAAGAAAGACGCCGAATGAAATGTGTACAGCTACACGCGAAGGTGTTGAATTGTTCGGAGTCTCTGACCCGTGAATCGTCGTGAGAAAAATACCGTGCTGAAAGAGTAATCGGCAGCTGGCCTCTTGACAAACGAAAAAAAAACAGTAATTATAAACACGTGTAACACAGCTCTCTTCTCCATTCTGTCTCATTTTCTATCCGGACGTTCGAGTTACGGCGTTAATAAGTCCGCTGTTTGAAGAGCGTCAGACAAGAATCATCATTTGCTAGGTTTCTAGGTAACCGGAGTACCTCCGCTAAAGATTCTTTCAATGAAAACCCAGCTTCTCTGTGTCGAACTTCCTTGTATAAAGAGAGTCACGGGATGATGATTCTTAAAATGACTCTGTTTGAGTTCTTCTTAAGAGTTGATATTGATGAGCAGACTACAATGTCTACATCATACATCAAATATATATATGATGATTCTTAAAATGACTCTGTTTGAAGAGTCTTTCTTAAGAGTCCATATAGATGAGCACACTACAATGTTTATATGATACATCAAGTATATATATGATAATTCTTAAAACGACTCTGTTTGAAGAGTCCTTCTTAAGAGTTGATATTGATGAGCACACTACAATGTTTATATGATACATCAAGTACATATATGATTGTTAAAATGGTTCTGTTTGAAGAGTCCTTCTTAAGAGTTCATATTGATGAGCACACTACAATGTTTATATGATACATCAAGTACATATATGATTGTTAAAATGGTTCTGTTTGAAGAGTCCTTCTTAAGAGTTGATATTGATGAGCACACTACAATGTTTATATGATACATCAAGTACATATATGATTGTTAAAATAACTCTGTTTGAAGAGTCCTTCTTAAGAGTTGATATTCATGGGCACACTACAATGTTTATATGATACATCAAGTATATATAATTTTCAGACTTTCATATATTACATCTTACTAACATATACATATAATATAAGTACCTTTGTTTTTTGATTGAAATAGATAACATGAGATAAAGTAGTTTTGATACCTATCTCGATACCTATTACGATGGAAAAAACATTTCTATCAATACTAGTGTCTGAAAGAAAATTTATATGAAGACTAAGGAAAGCTCGCCTTAACTGAGCGCCGTTCGGTTCCACGCGCGATCAGTTACCGTGAGTGGTAGCAGATTTTTCTACCTCACCAAATTTACTAATGACTTCTTTCTAACTTCCTACGTATTCTACCTCTAAAAGTAAATAGTGATCAGTAATATAACCAAATTACTCGTTCTCAAAGTCAATAAAAAAAAATTACGAAAGGTTGGAAGAAGACGAAACATTAGAAAAGGAAGGAAGGTAAAATGACGCGTTCGTCTCGATCGTTAATATCCCGTAATCTCAAGACGTAGGAACGTGACTACCGTTGGTAGTAGCCTTCTCGCAACAGCCTCAGGAATTATGGATGCGTTCCACTTCCGGCAACGCGCGAAACGCGGAAGCGTAATGCTCACTCTTCCTCCCCCTGTGTTCCCATCCCGTCGTTCCTTCCTGCAGAGTGTACGAGGCTCGCGTCTACCCGCGTCGAAGTTGGCAACAGCATCTGGAGCGTTAAGGCGAATGAGCGATGTGCCGGTGTCTTGCGGTGTGATGGATCGCCCAATACCAGCCAATATGCAGTATTGCGCGGGGAGTGTGGCAAACTGGTATCCATGCATCAAATCGCCGCTAACCGGAAAGGGTACGGCCTCGTCGCGTATCACGGATACGATGTAACACACCGATGTCCGTACAGTTTCTCGTGGTCAGGTTCTTGTCACATCCCTTCTGCTGACCGACCACCACCGGACGAACCTATGGTAGACCATACGGCGCTGCATGGCTGCTACACCGGACACGCACCGCCGTAATTTTCCATTCTCTGTTCGCGCAGAGAGAATCGATACAGAGCTCGAGAAATTGTCCGATGCAGATGTCGTAGAGATTCACACTAGCTGCACTGACGTAGGGGTAGGTATGGGTTTTTTTGGAATAGAGAACGATGGTAAATGGATGTGGAATATTTTGTGTGTTTGGCGAAAATCAGAAATTTTAGGCAAGTTTAAATTTTAATTTTAAGTTGGAGACTGGTTTTATTTGTGGAGGTTGGAGACATCTTCTGTATAGAACTTGGCAATTTTTTATAAGTTTATGAGTTTGAGAGTTTGATAATCTTCAAGTTTTCATACTTGCAATTTTTGCAACAAATGTGTTTGAAGATCTACACATTTCTAAATAAATTTCTATGTAAACTATTTGAATGCCCAAATTCTCGGATCACCATGTTAAATCTTTAAATCCTCAAATTCCTAAGTACCCAAAGTTGAAATCCTCAAATCCCCAAATTCTCAAATCCTCAAATCCTCAAATCCTCAAATCCTAGAATCTCTAAATACCAAAATCCCAAATTCCTATATACTTAAAGTTGAAGCCCCCAAATCTTCAAATCCCTGAATTCCCAAGTGTCCAAATCCTTAAATCCTCAAATCCCACATTCTCTAATACCCAAAGCCCCTAATTTCCAAATTCCTATATTTTCACGATGCATAAAATTTCGCCTTACGCCAATGGTGACACGGATCTATAGACTAATTGTGCAATTTTGTAACGCTACGGTGGTAAAAACGGCGAACTCGAGTGGTAAACTCCACTTTTATTCGCGTGCACTAAAGGATGGTTTTCTTGGAAGTACAGTAAAACTCTCTAGCTATAATGCGGACGTTTCTGGATATATACAGAGTAATAATATACTGAGATACTGTTGGCTATAGTGCGGGCGTAAATTAACTCTGAAACGTGTAATCGATAAAGAATAATATTTTACACTCTATCGAACACTAGAAGAGCATAAAACTTGTCGTCTATCGTTACTTAAAATTACAAATACAAATTACTAATTACGAATAATTATTAAAATAATTATCGTTAATTCTGTAGTGTAGAAAAGTTGCAAAGTACGAATGTAAATATTGATTCAACTTAAGTATGACTCAACGATTCCCGCTAAGCAGAAAAAAAATGGAGTACGTGATGAAGTACGAAGGGTAAATTATGCCCCCACAGTTCTAGAAACTTTGCAAACCTATGATCACCGCGACCATAACCGTTATTACAGGTTAGTTCAGCTACTTCTCTGAAAAGTTCATTAAAATCAATCGCACGGTGTTTCCGCGTTTCCTTGTTATTTAATATCAAAGCCGAAGCACGATCCGGAGTTGAACTTGTCATTAGCTTCGAGGGAACACGACACGACGCGAGTTTCGTTTAATTAAAATTAAAGACAGGCTGACGGATCCGTTGAATGAAGTAACCGTGTCAGACGTCTGGGACTATTGTTACTGGTAATTAGATAAAGGATCCGAACCACACGAACGTCCGTGCAACAGCGACGCGTTACAAGCGGTTTCGAAATGCTCGAGATAACGGTACACCTTACACGATCTCGATCTCGAAACTTCTCCGCTCGAAATGTCGCGTAAAATCGACTTCACGCGATCGTTCTTTTAAAGGGAACGCAACGTGTAATTATTTCGCTCGTGATGAAACGGTCGTGCTTACGCTAAATTCGTTTCGAATACACGACTTTAATTGCAAACCTGTCTACTAATTTTAACGCTGAAATTGCTGTTGATGATACATTGCTGGTTGCGTTGATTGTCAATCACTTACGGAAATTTTAATTTACCGATCTCTCGTAACTTTTACACTACTTTCATAGTACTTCAAGAGATTTAATATGTACATTATATTCGAGCCCGTATTTACGTTTGAACATGAAATTTTAATTCTGCGGCACGGAAAGTTAATTTTAAATAAATGTGTTAGGCTGGATTAAGAGCTTGAATAAGGATCTAGCGTGAGATTTGCTTTTACCGTGTTCAAGCTCCAAATCTAATCTAACATAACTTTTAACAGAAATAATTAAATTTTTGTAATTAACGAGGTGTACGTGTTTTAGTTACAAGGTAGTAATTGGTTACAGCAGTGGTGCAGATGAAAAACAGAGAAGATAAACTTGCCTTTGAGGTTTCAGAACTTATCTTGTTGCAAGTGTACATCTGTACTTTGGCTTGTTAAATGTGATTCTTCCATAATAATAATACTCGTGTGACGATTATCAAATACACTCTTTCAATATAAAAGACTCGACAATCGACCATGCAGTTTACCGAAATGGTACTCAGAACAAAGTACGTAACGCTTGCCAAACGGTTCCACTTAAATGGTTTAATAGAAAGAAAATATCGATCGTATGATCCTCGTAGAAGGTCAAAGAGAGGAGAGTAAAACTTACCGGAAGGTGAGGGTGGTGAACGGTCTGTAGCTCTTGTGGCTGTTGACGTCGTGCATGGGGGTGCCCCAGAAGTCGTCGTTGAAAATACTGGTCCAAGGTGTTTGCGCGAGCACGTCCTTGTTCCTCACAATCGCCGGTATATCGTCGTGCACGAAATCACCGTTTAACGCGTTCAGGTAGCAAGCAACGGCCACCAGAGCCACGGTCGCGTACAAGCACCATCCGGGTGGTTCGTTTCCGTCCGCGTCGTTGTAACCGCCACGACCGGCCCTCTTGTTGTTCTGGCAGCAGCAACCGGCGTTGCTGTTGTTTCGTCGCCGCATGATTCACCGGTAACGCCAGCTACCACAACGTCGCACAAAACGTTCAGGGCTCAACGTTCTGCCACGATCGTCGGGGATGATCACTTTCATGGAGCCACGAACGCTTTCACAACGACGTTATCTGTCGCGCTGATAGAACGTCGCGTAACGAGCGCGCGGTCGATCGTGCCGCGATTCGAGGTTAGATCGCATCTCAAGGACCGTGACGACGACAACACCGACATCGGTTAAAGGACGGTACGCGGCGCGGACGCGTGCAGCCCGCTCGTAATTAGACGAGCAGGCTCGTTCCCTCGGAGCGACCTCTGAACACGAGCACCGAACGCTCGCTCGATCGAGATACCTAAAGCAACCTCGAGCAACGCTCTTATTTTTCTTGCGGACGAAATCCAGCTGGGATCGGCGGGTGCGCTTTGCTACCTGCCGTCAGCTCGCGTTGCACTCTTCCATTTACTTCAACCGGGCTACTTTGAGCATTCGTTGCCCTCGCGGTGAGCTTGATAAATGACTGCGGAGGTTCATTATTTACCCTGCCGGCGCGTCCAATGTGTCCGCTCTAAAGAGAAACGGGTTTCGCGTGAGCTGATTGCTCTTCCACAGATAATAGTTCTTCGCGTGGTGCTCGTTCGTTCCCGGATTGTCCCCGCGGGAATCCGGCCGGACAGCCTTCTCTTTTTTTCCGCCTCGCTCTATCTCGCCTCGATGCCTCGTTTTCTAGCCGGTAACGATGTAACAGCTCGTTACAGTCGCGGCTATCGAACTTGTTACGTCACCGATCTACGGGAACAATTCAACCGGACGACTCGCGCGAACAAAGAAGTCGGAACGAGCTCGCGTGCAACGGCTCCCTAGATCTTGGACGTCAACGAACGATCGTGGAAACCGAGTTCCCTTTAAATGTGTTCCCGTTTCCGCGTTTTTTGCGATTATTCCCGCACGAATATCGACATCTAGGAACTTTCTACAGCACGCTTCACGCCACCTTTTTCCGTTACACTTACACCAGCGTGTGCGGAGCTCGAGGAACCGTTTCCTCGTCGCGATCGCGTACTCTTTCCATCTCGCTGTTGTTTCGTCGCCGCATGATTCACCGGTAACGCCAGCTACCACAACGTCGCACAAAACGTTCAGGGCTCAACGTTCTGCCACGATCGTCGGGGATGATCACTTTCATGGAGCCACGAACGCTTTCACAACGACGTTATCTGTCGCGCTGATAGAACGTCGCGTAACGAGCGCGCGGTCGATCGTGCCGCGATTCGAGGTTAGATCGCATCTCAAGGACCGTGACGACGACAACACCGACATCGGTTAAAGGACGGTACGCGGCGCGGACGCGTGCAGCCCGCTCGTAATTAGACGAGCAGGCTCGTTCCCTCGGAGCGACCTCTGAACACGAGCACCGAACGCTCGCTCGATCGAGATACCTAAAGCAACCTCGAGCAACGCTCTTATTTTTCTTGCGGACGAAATCCAGCTGGGATCGGCGGGTGCGCTTTGCTACCTGCCGTCAGCTCGCGTTGCACTCTTCCATTTACTTCAACCGGGCTACTTTGAGCATTCGTTGCCCTCGCGGTGAGCTTGATAAATGACTGCGGAGGTTCATTATTTACCCTGCCGGCGCGTCCAATGTGTCCGCTCTAAAGAGAAACGGGTTTCGCGTGAGCTGATTGCTCTTCCACAGATAATAGTTCTTCGCGTGGTGCTCGTTCGTTCCCGGATTGTCCCCGCGGGAATCCGGCCGGACAGCCTTCTCTTTTTTTCCGCCTCGCTCTATCTCGCCTCGATGCCTCGTTTTCTAGCCGGTAACGATGTAACAGCTCGTTACAGTCGCGGCTATCGAACTTGTTACGTCACCGATCTACGGGAACAATTCAACCGGACGACTCGCGCGAACAAAGAAGTCGGAACGAGCTCGCGTGCAACGGCTCCCTAGATCTTGGACGTCAACGAACGATCGTGGAAACCGAGTTCCCTTTAAATGTGTTCCCGTTTCCGCGTTTTTTGCGATTATTCCCGCACGAATATCGACATCTAGGAACTTTCTACAGCACGCTTCACGCCACCTTTTTCCGTTACACTTACACCAGCGTGTGCGGAGCTCGAGGAACCGTTTCCTCGTCGCGATCGCGTACTCTTTCCATCTCGATCAGAGATATCGATGCTCCGTTCCGGTCAGAGATAACGTTTCGAGATAACGCGGTACCCTTCATTCGACGCATATCTGTCTTCGGCTCACTCGATGATCTCGTCCGTTTTCGACGAACGCCGCCGGACGATGAAAAACGAGTAACGACAGCGGCAGACACGCGCGAGAGAGAAGCGGCTGTATGACCCAGATATTCGCGATGGTGGCCCGGGCTCTTCTATCGCCGCGAATTTCCTATGCATACAGGTTTACGCGGCTGGTCGCATCTGACCGGAGGCGCAACTTCGAATTCTCTGCAGTGCCGCCTTTTTTCTTCCTTTCTTCCTTCTCCACCCTTCGTTGCCGTTGCTCGACAGTTTCGATTCCTCCACCATTCAGCCGTGCTACTTTCACGCTCCCCGTTTCGCGGCCTCTCGCGTCGGACAATCGAATCTCTGGCCCGGTACCGCTTCGCCTCTTCTTCCTACTTTCGTGACCGCGGAAACCTCTTTTTGCCCACTTGAACCTTCTTTACGCGTTCGCGTGAGTCGGAACAATGGTCCACGATCGTCGAAGTTCAACTACGAACCCTTGTTTACGACGTAAGCAAGGTTACAACAGGTTGATCCGACACTGGTCACGGAGGTTCGACATGCTCGCGATTAATCGCGAAAGATCGATATCCGATTTCACGCAACCGATCGATGACCGATCGATCGAAATCCACGTCAATGTAAACGAAGTACACCCCGAACTAACCCGAACTCAACGAACTGCCGAACGAAACTTGCCGATCAAAGATCGTGCATCGCGAACACGCGACCGCTTCCTTGTGGAATCCGAGCGGATCGTCGCGATGACGATAAGCGCAAGACTAAAGGACGACGGCATCCGCCCGGTTATATACCCGGCGCACTCTGACCCGCAAAGCCGCGCCCGCGCACCAGCCACCCCTGGGCTTTTCCCTCTAGTCCTATACACCTGTCTCGCTCGCTCTGCCGAGACAATCTTCCGTTTACCATCGTCGTTCGTGCTTGGTCCCGCGTTCTATGAGCCTCGTGTTTGTTTACCTGCATCTTTTCCCGAAATCTCACTTTGAAATCGAGTCGCGAGCCCCTATGGAACTTCCGCTCCAAGAACCGTGGACGATGACACTGTTGTAATTCGCTTCGAAATTCTCTTCGATGATCGCGAACATCGCGAATTTTGCGATGAAACCTGACACTTCGTTGGGCGTTTGGGAATTTCAGAGTTTGGCATTATGAAATTTGGGAAGTTGAACAATTGAAGATTTGGAAATTTGAAAATTTTGGAATAGAAAAATTTGGAACTCAAAGATTTATGAATCCAGAAACCAAACAACCTTGAAATTTAGAAACCTATACAAACCAACAAACCCACTTAACTAAAACTTTGAAAGCAAAAAATATTTACAAATTGAAAAATTCGTGTCCACACATTCATGTGTCATATCTCGCGGGTTGCCTCAGTTAATGCCAAAACGGATTTCTTGATTGCAAATCGAAATATGACACGAAAAGCCGAATAAATAGTACGTTTATAAAAAAAATCGGCGAAGGCAAAAGTGATTTTTTTAATATCTCGTGACAGTCACACTGCTTCGTGGAATGGTGATATTTAAAAAATTTGAACATCTCTGTTATTGCATTGGAAATTGTGAATCGATGTGTTAACGCATTCAACAGCGAGCACGCAATGTTCTCTTTTTTATTTAAACTCAAAAATATTGTGAATTGGTAACCATGCATTTTTACACGAATTTTAACACGGTTTCTTTTATATACATATGTCGTTTGATCAATATATGCGATCTTCTCGTAACGTGATTTTATAATGCTCTTGCAAGGAGAATAATTTTACTTGGACAGGATTTACTAGTATAATTTATTAATTATATTTTAATGATTTTTTAACATGATTTATGTTTAACCTAATAGATTGATAGTAGTGTATGTGACTGCCGGTGCAAGTTTAGTAAAAATTAATTATTTACAGGAAGAGCAAAGAAAAGGTACTTTGAGAGCTCTTAATGCGGAGACAATGATATAATAGATGAAATTATAAAATTGGAAGATCATGTACTGTGTTATAGTGTGTCTGACCACAAACGTCAGTTTCCAATATGGCGGTCATATGCGATCAATGCTGTAAACTTAAATTATTTATTTACAGGGAAAGAAAACGAAAAGAACTAAAGACTTTCAATGTCAAAACAATAATATACATTAAAATATTAAAAGAAGAAGTTGAAAGATTAATTATCCTTGCATTGCACACGTGTAAACGCAGACATCAATATGGCTGCCGCGTTAACAGAGAGCGAACACAGTAAATGCTCCAGTATCACGAAGTTGTCGAACAGCAATTTGACGCTGACAAAACATCGCACAGCAAGGGCCCTAAATCGGCAATTGAATTCACCTAAATCGTTAGCGCAGCGATCGTTCTTCGGTATTGCCTCTCGAAATGCGCATTCAGGATTACGAAGGATCGAACGATGAAGCGAATCATGGTACTCGAATCAGCGAACGTATTGACGATACGAGCTCGTTATGACGGCGATGATGCGATAACGAGCATGTCGTGGTATGGCTTAGCAAAGTGTTACAGCGTTCGTTTCGATGGGATAAAGCCATCGTTCGATATTCCTTGTCTATCGTTGTCAGGAACCGATCAAACGCGTTCGAACAAAAGTGAAATTGCGATTATGATAAACGAGCTCGTTACAAAACGATACCGATCGTCGCGAGAACGTGACAAGGTCGAAGGTATTGTTCGTGAAACGAATAGACAGCAGTTTTTCGACGCCACGGTATGACAATCCGAAAAAATAAGCCACGATCGATCATGG